ATTTATTGTAATCAATTTTTAACTAAAAAGAAAAGTCATAGACCTCGTTGTGGACAACCAAAGAAGTCTGAATCATGTTATACAGACATAATTGCTGGTTCATGAACTTTAGCCCACTGGAACCAGGATGTAACAGATTCGTTTTTCCAGTGCTGTAGAGGTCTGGTGGAGTGGGTCCTTTAACGCACCTGTGATTTTGACGTTTTGTTAGGTAGAGCTGTGTCCTTCTTACAGCCAATGTTAACTATCCTCCGAGGGATTTGTGGTACAGATAATCAGAGCAGAGATCAGACTGCTGACTCTGTTGAATTTAATCCAATCAACCACTGATAGTTCCCAACTTAAAGAGTACCAGCATCAAAAAAGAAGAAATCCATTTTAAAACATCCATCCCATCCATTGCTGATGATATCAAAAGCATACTTCAGCATACTTAATGTCAGTGAGCATTTTTCCAAAGTGTCTTTGGATCTTTGCATATTTGTTTTTTCTTCAGGGCTGACATAAGAACAGGTTCGATTCATTCCTGAGTTATTTCAGTGTATCTTGCAGGAACATTTGTTTAGTTAAACAAGACAATGGGCTTTCATAAACATTAAGCTTCAGCTATATCTGCAGAAAACAAATTTGGCATAAATAATATTTACATAGGAAAAAGTATACCCATTAGTCTTAATACCTAATACGTACATTTTTTCCTGTGTAAATATTAAACATAAAGTTAACATTTGCTGGGAAAAGCCTCATGATGCATTCAGTTTTGTTTGATCTTTGAATTTTAAAGGAATTTTGTGAACAAATTTGACATAAATCTTACAGACAGCTCACTGACCCTCTACTGTCACAGTTCTTTAGTTATGACTTGCCTGTACATTCTCTGGGAAGTCTGCTAGCAGAACTATCACAGTGTGCTCATCCTTTGCCTACTGTGATGGTGCTGTAACTCTGTTACTCCAGAGGTTACACCCCAGCAGCACTATACAGCAGAGGAGGCACAAGTCCTTTTTACAAACAGTATAAAAATTCAATATTTCAAGTTGTCTTATAATGATCATGCATGTTTTCACATGATCTCACACATGGATCTTTTTATATTTCTATTTTCTTTAATTTTTATTGCTCATGTAAATATATTTTCATCACTGTTGTGTGATCTAGGGTGGCACAGAGATGATTAAACCTTTCCAATGACAAATGTTGAATTCTCTTCTCTCTGGGTGGTTCATTATTGAGCGAGGTGCAGTCTTTTAGAAAACGAGCTGCAGTTAGAATTTACAGTTTGGAGTCTTTCATTTTCATTTCATTAGTAGAACTAATGCCACAGGGGCATATTTTAAGTAAACAAAAAGTTTGGTTCTTTAGAAACTACTTTGTGACAGTGCCTGGTTTAATTTCCAATTAATCTGCACCTTGCATACAAACAGAAAAGGAAGGTTATGTTCCTAAAGGAGCAGTTTAGTGTTTTAATGTTTCTATCAGCAGTGCTGCAAAGCTCACAGGGGGATACATGCAGTGTCTTGGAGACATGATATTTGCAGTGCTCACCCATGACATTGAGTTCCAAACAATTATCCAGCTCACTGAAGCTGAAAGGAGAAAGACATTTTCTGTCATCCTGGCCTGGTGGATTGTGAATAGAAGGCAGACACCTGTTCATCGCGATACAGGGTCTGGAGGTTTTGAATGGTTTTGAAGCAGAGCATGTGCATAGTGTGCAGTGAGAGTGAGCCTGAACTGGCCCAATGAGACAAATAATGAGTTCAGTCCTGTAACTGAGAAACGTGATGGGATGATGAACATGCTGTATTTTGACCAACAGAGATCAGAGCTGTTTATCTTTTTGTTCTTTGTGCTTGTTTGTGTTCTTGATCGTATCCGTGTTCTTGATTGTGTTCTTGTTCTCCTCCTTTTTCTCGTATATGCATATTGAAAACAAAAATTGTGTCACACATTTTAACACACATCTGACGATTTGGGGGGCGTTCCATGTTCAGATTTTGTCTTCTTTTTTTTCTCTTTCTCTCTGACACATTTCCCTGTGGTGAATGAGGCTGCGCAGGGTGTGTTTGCATGTTTTGTGTATTCAAAACCAGAAAGAAATGGGTTAGTAAGACTCTCTGGGACGAAAACAAACCACTCCCAATATAGATAACATTCAAAAGATTTTTATTCCGAGAGTCATTAACACCTTGAAGATTGCTCTTTGTTGAAGCCACTGTTTTCTGTAGAGCAGTGGTTCTGAAACATTTTGGACCAAGTAAGTACCACCTCCAAATCACTTTCTCATAGGAACCACAGAACACACACACACAAAATAAAATAGCACTGAGCACTTAGATAATTTGGATCGTACTACCTTGTAGCCGTTTTCTGACGCTTACTGACATTAGCAGCGCTGTGTCATTTTCAGCAGCAGAGCTAGTGTCGGTGGCCGATGTACTGTATAATCCTCTTCAACAGGTTCGCAACAGGTGTGCGTGATCTAGCGTCAGTACTCTTGGTGTCTCTTCCTTTCAGCCATGAGATAATACTTGATTTTTGCGAGGTATTCGTTTTCGAACAACTGTTCTGTCGGCGAATGGGGGCGCTGTTGGAGAACTCAGGAGTCCGTCTTGGAAGTTTTTATTTAATGTGCATGGGAACGAAACACACAGAGATGCTCAGTGTATTTTTCTCAAAGTATTAAATATTTTTCTGTTATCGATCAAGCGTCCCTGTGCTTACGAGATTGGCAGTTTCCGAAATCACGCACATTCTCCTACTTCCCTATTTGCTTAAAATAATGTATTTTAATACAATTGGTCACTAAGTGTCGTAGCACGCATTCCTATACAATGGTATATACTTTATAGTACATAGTAGCCCTTGTGTCCGCTCAAGTATTACCGCCTGCTGTATCGAAGTACGTAGGCTGCGTATTAGACACATAAACTAATTTTATTAAAATAGAAAATAAAAAAAAACTCGTCTCAAAGTAAATTATGGATGAAAAACGTACATATTTTGTAATTATTCAATTTTTAATTCCCAGTTTTTCAGTGCACACAACAAATTTCCAGGGTCATCTCGAGTACCAGTTTGAGACCCATTGCTGAGTATTCAGTGCCCTTTTAAAAAGAGCTAGTGGCTGACTCTGTTCTAGATACTAGAACTCATAAAATGTATTTTTTTAAACAAGCCCCTTCAGAAAGATTGTTTTTCCAAAGTCCCAAACAGAGCTCTGACTGAATTCAGTGTACAGGGCGAATACTCAAAGCAATTAAAAATGTCATGTTAGGAGCATGTTGGTTTTAGTTTCTTCAAGATTGAAAAAAGAATTGTAGAGATTTATAGGGAAAGTAGCTTATATAATATCTTCATAGAGACTTAAAGATTGATTAGATTGTATAGCTCAATAACAAAAATCAAAGCAATTAAAATAATTCACATAAGGAGCATGTTGGTTTTTGTTTCTTCAAGATAGAAAATTTAAGTAGGAGAGATCGTGGCATAGAGCTTAGAATTGTTGCCTTGCAGTGCTGGGGCCCCTGGGTCAGTTCTGATCTGGGGTGTTGTCGTTGTTTGTCTGTGTTGGTGTGGGTTGCAATCCTACATGGCAGACTGGTAGGTTAATTGGCTTCTGGGAAAATTGTCTTTAGTTTGTGTCTGTGTGTGCCCTGCGAGGGGCTAGCATCCTGCCCAAGGCATACCCTCCCTTATGCCCATTGCTTGCTGAGCAGCAGCTCTTGCTCCCCTGCCTCCCTGAATCAGAAGAAGGGATTAGGAAATGGATGGATTTACAGATAATGTGGTTCATATTTATATAGAGGTAAACACTGAATGGATTTCGGTGCTCACTCTGCAGCCTGTGTGGGTCCTAATGCCCCAGTATAATGATGGGGACATTGTACTGTAAAAAGGTGCCTTCCTTCAGATGAGACATAAAACCGAGGTCCTGACTGTCTGTGGTCATTAAAAATCCTAGGGTGTTACCCCAGAGTCCTTGAATTTCCTATTGGCCTTTACCAATCATGGCCCCCTAATAATCCCCATCCATGAACTGGCTTCTTCAGTCTGTTCTGAGGTTGAGGGCATGTCATCCTTCTCCAGTTACCTTGGGTGAGGGCCTGTCTCTGACTGTGTTGTGCTCCGGGCAGGCCCTGGCCTGTCATATAGCCTGGACAAGGGCCAACTGACGTCACACAGAGAAACTGCCTGAAACAGGGCTGGGACCTGACCACACCTCTAGTGGAGTGTGAGATCATCTGCTCTGTTGTGGGCTGTGGATGCTGGATCAGTGATCTAGTGGGAAAGGTACTTTTTTGACATGACTTGCCTCAGCACCCTATAGCCATGACAGGTGGGAGGCCAGCATGCCCTTGTCTCCTGCATCCAGTCTAAATGTTCCATTCTGGGCCCTACGGGTGACACTATACCATCCATTGGTAACCACACTGCAGAAGCATAACGGCAAAAAAGACCAAAGACCTACACCCTACAAGAAATGTGGCAGAAACCAGAAGCAATGCAGAAAGCAAGACCACCTGCAACAAACCAGGAATAACAGATCTGCAGGAGCATGAAAGCACAGAGTATTGTTTCTGTTTCATAAATATTACCAAAAAAGTGTTAAATATAGGAACGCACAACTGTTCTGAATCAGATCCCTGTCTGTATGTGAAGGTTTGTTTCTAAGTTTGCCAATGCAACACAATAGGGATCTTGTAACGTGGGCACAGCGTTCAGAGTAACTCTGCTAGTGGCACAGAATTCGATTGGTTAGACTACATTTGCTCAATGATCTGTACTGCAGTCTCAAATCCAATTTGTAAACCTACAACTACCAACACCAGCACCTGAGCTTATCGGGTTATGTCATTTGGTTGGTGGAGGTAGAACTGATCCTCCAGCCTCTGTCTGTTGTGTTATTATGTCACGTGTCTCAATAGTACACCACCCACATATTGTACACACACATGCGCCGTCTCTCTCTCTCCTCAGCTCCTCTCTTCTCCCTGCAGGCGTGGAGATGGCTGTCCAACCGGTAGTGACCATTCAGCCAGGTATGGTGCTAGCCCCTGTGGACATGAAGATCAACAGCTGGAGCTCAGGGATCTGTGACTGCTGTGAAGACATGGGCATCTGTGAGTATTCAATTTCAATTTCAATTTATTTTTATATAGCACCTTTCACAACAAGGTTGCCCCAAGGCACTTTGCCCATGTGTGTGTGATCCCAAGACAAGACACCTGACTGATGATTCTCTGTGCACCGGTTTGTTTGTGTATTTGACTGTCTTGGATAAAAACACATTTTTCCCTTAAGGGTCTGACATCAGGGAGGAATGAGCAGTGCAGGGAGGAATGAGTTATTTGCTACTCCTTTCTCCACCACAATTTGGAATTAACAGTGCTCCATAATTAGCAGAGCACTCCTCACACTTGCACAGGAGAGATAAAGACTGCAAGTCTGCCTTCTTAAATGTGCACCTTAGCCATTCAGAGACACCACGCAGGAGGGAAAAACAGCTCACCGGTGTGAACACGGGGACTGTGAGAGGGCAGCAGGTTCTCCACAAGATGCAGAT